GGTATTAGTCAAACTTCTGTTAGCTAAAAATTTAAACATGTAAATAAAACCATTATCTAGTATAATATATTTTAATTAGAGTTATTACTTTTTGTAATACCTATTATCTCTTAAAGTAGGTCATAGTTTGGTGACTTAATGCAGGCGTTTGTGTTGACACAGAGGTGATACCATACTGGTTCTGGTGTTGAGAAATTAAGATTTAATTGGCTTGAAACATTTCCCTTTTAGATGCAAACATTTAAGTTGGGTGAGAACTAGGATAATATTGATAACACGAAAAATGTAGCTGGATATGAGTGGAGACATCTGAGACATCTGCTAAAAGTTAGAAGAGAGTATGCCAACAACGGCAACCAGACAGACAAAGGGCTCTCAGTTAGCGTAAACCAGCAAGCAGGTTGTTACTGCATTTATTCAGCAAATGTTTGTTATAAAACCGCCATGGGCCAGGCGTTTGTTCTGCACACTGTGTAGCTTCCCAAAGCAGGGCCAGGAAGAACAAAGGCAGGTGAGTATGAAAATGTTAGCTCTGAGCGCTGTGACTGCACGAGATGCTGTGCTGAGTGTTCTGTCTGCTCTGCAGAAGGTGGGCGAGGAAGATGCCCGCACAGGTACCATTAAGCTGAGCATGGCGGGAGGTGATGTTGGGAGCAGCCACCCGCATTAGGTCAGGAGGCGTTGGAAGCGAGGGTGGGAGGTTAAATTTTATCCTGAATACACTGGGAAACTAGTGAAGAGTTTTAAGTGGGAAAATGGCATCATTAGATTTATGTCTGGAAACAATTACCTTGGCTGCTATGCTGATTAAAGAACAGGAAAAACAATCAAAGTACTTGTTAGAACTGCCCTTCATAGCCTGTGAAAATTCACAGCATCCCTTGTTTTCTTCAGTCTTGTATCTTACATCAAATATTTATTTCTTCTAAAATGTGTAACTAGTAAGTCTAGTAGTCTATGTTCGTCTAGCTGGAAAACTTCATATAAATCTTTTCAGATGCCCCAAAATCAAACTTTATTTCTGGTGTAAGTCCTCAAAATATCAAGATATACCTGTTGAATTGTTCATACTTCCCAATTACTAGTCATATTATTTACTTCAGTAAACTCTGCTTTCTGGTGTTTTAGAGGTTGACATTATAAAAACCTTCAACTGGGCAACTGTGTGTGTGTGTGTGTGTGTGTGTGTGTGTGTGTGTGTATGTGTCCTTTTGAGACAGGGTTTCACTATGCAGTTCAGGCTGGCTTGAACTCACTTTGTAGCCCAGGCTGGCCTCAAACTCGCAGCGATCCTCCTGCCTCAGCCTCCCAACTGCTGGGATTACAGGCATGTGCCACCACCTGGAACAACTTTTGTAATGACTGCTGTATTCTCATTTATTAAAACTCAGCTATTTTTCCTGACAAATTCCTGAAAGTTGTCATCATAGAGTACTTCCATATAGGAGCGTTGCCATACTGTTCCTTATAAGATTTATGTGGTAGTTACACAGATAATTAATACGTAATTACTACCATCTCTACTTTGTATCTCAGTATGTTTAAACGCTTAGCACCCTGAGTAAATTTGTGAACAGGTCATCCAAAGGATGGAAAACCCTACTCATGGTTTGGGAGTTTGTTTAGCTTGCTAAGGATATAATGATGAAGTTTTAGTCAAATATTATACTGTTAAAAGTACTTTTCATAAAGTTTAGCTTTTTGTCACTTGAAGCATGATGTTTTCTACTGCATCAGTCACTCCTTGCTAGAGGCCTTGGAGAGTCGTTACATTTCTGGAGGCATAAGGAGACGTCATAGAGCGCTGGTTGTCTGTCTTCCTGTCTCCCGCTCCTCCTCCTCCTCCTCCAACCCCACCCCTTCTTTATATTTCCTTTTCTAATTGGACCTGGTACTTTTCCATAATTCTGTCAGCAGCAGAACTACTCAAGTGTATCCAGGTATGCCTGTAATGCCAGAACTCTGAGAGGCTGAGACAGGAGGATCACAAATGCAAACCAGCCTGGGCAAGTTAGCAAGATCCTGTCTCAAAAAAAAAAAAGACTGGGAATGCAGCTCAGCGTGAAGACCACGGGTTCAGTCCCTGGCACCACACAGACACTGTGCTTGCTTGGGACATGGACGGTGGCAGGGACAGTGTCTGGGGCTAGGAGTATGGCTGAGTGGCAGAGTGTGTGCTTGTGGTGTGGTCACCAGTGCCAGCAAAGGGGGTGGGCAGCGAGCCATCTGTGTCCAGGGTGAGGACGCGGGCCCTGGGCATTTTGCACTTTGAGAAGCCACACTCGGGCCGCTGCCCCGGGCAGGTCCCCAGTGAGGGTCTGGAGGCTGTCAGCCACGTGTGGCAGCCAAATGGTTCTGGGTTCAGGTGCACGAGAAAGTGCCCTCCCAAGATGAGTTTCTTTTTTCTTTATCTTTTTATTTTTCTTTTTCTTTTTCTTTTTTTTTTGGTACCGGGAATTGAATTCAGGGCCTTGCCCTTGCCAGGCAGGCACTGTGCCACTGAGCTGTGTTCCCAGCCAAATTTCACATTTTTAAAGACTGCTTATGGTATTGAAAACTAGACTTCAGACAGAGGGGCGGGCAGGAGTCTGACCCTGAGCTTGGCCTGAGGCAGCCCACACCGAGGAAGCATACGGCAGCAGCCAGGTTAGTACCCAGGGTCTGTGTAATGAGACTTGGAGCTATTGTTACTTTTCTCTTTGTTCTCTGAATTTTATCAATTGCTTAGTAGATGTGTTACTTTTTAACTAGACAAAGCTTTCTTAAATCTTTGAAATCACGTTTTTTAACTTGTCGTCTTGTTCAGTTAGTCTTCCTGGGCCATCACGAATTGCTGCAGGTTTGAGTGTCTTCACAGGAAGTGCATGTTCCCCCCCGCACTTAAGGCCAGAGTTGGAGGTGAGCCCTTCTCTCTCCACTCGCCTGTGCGGCTCTCCAGGCCACCCGCAGTCCTGTCTTCGGCGCAGTTATGTTTGGCATCAGCATTTGAATTGTGCAGGGGCATGGCTGCATGCAGAACACAGGCACTAACCTAATTATTTTAGAGACCCCCTTGTGAGCGGCAGTGGCTGGGATTACAGATGCGCACTACCGTGCCTAGCGTCAGTCTTCGTGGTTTTTGACAGGTGTTTTCTATAATTCCTTGAGACTACGTTGCAGTTCTTAGGGTTCTTGCAATTGCCGCTGACCGCCTGCAGAGCTGAAGGCACAGAGCTCTCTGTCAGGAGGCATGTGGGGGACAGGAACAATGTCAGAGAATTTCTCTGTCTGGCTCTCTGTGGCCACGGGGTCATCTCCCACGTGCCACCTTGCTTGTTCCGTTCTTTCTCAGTTTGCTGTCCCATACTCAGGGCAGCCAGTGGCCACTGCTCAGTCCCGGGCGGCCCTGCCTTGGGCCCGAGTACAGCGGACGGCCCAGCTGGCATTCCTGAGCACGAAGCCCTGGGGCCAGGCCTGGAGCGGGTCAGGTGCCTGCCAGGACCCTTGGCTCACTTGTGGTTGCTGAGCAGGACCACAGTGTTGGAGGGAAGCTGGGATGTGCGCTCCGGACAGAAGGCCAGGGAGAACGTGCACCTGCATGCTGCCCCTGCCGCTCGGTCAGGCTGGTGGTGGGCAGCTGGCACCCGTGTGCCGCGTGCCCACAGTGGAGCTTGCTCCTTGCCGGGAGCAGGGGCTGGGAATCCAGGCGCGCCATGCTGGCTGCTGCTGCATGTGCCACAGGTGGTCGTTTTGGAGTTTTCCTAAAACATCTTAACTGCATGTTGAGTAGAACTTGCTCCTTCTGGGGTGTGAAGCTGCCGGAGGCTGGGCGCAGGTGCTGCTGGGGAGCTCGCACAGTCCCTGTCCTCCCGCTTTCTCCAGGAGAGTTCTCTGTGCACGCTGCGGTCTGCTCTGCCCTTGCAGCCCGCACCTGTCTGTCCCGGTGGTCATCTTGGTCACCTGGGAATCCGAGAGCCCATGGGACCAGGGCCTCGAGTGCTCCAGGTCTGTGTCCTGTTACTGAATACGCAGAGTGGGCGCTGGGTGTGCTGTTTACGTGACAGAGAGGAGACCCTTTCCAAAAGTGCCCAGCAAATTAAATTGTGTGCGTATTTGTGCATGAGTGTTCAGTTTGCATACCAGGTTAACAATTTCAAAAGTTTAAAAGTTACAGTATTTATGAGGAATCCTTAGTAACATCTTTTTTCTTTTTGGTCCTGGGAATTGAACTCACAACCTCGTGCTTGCCAGGCAGGCGCTGTGCCACCAAGCTATATCCCTGGTCCTTATGAGGAATTCTTAAATGATCACAATTAAGTGACAGAGGTATAGGTTACATTGTTCGGAGCTGGGTCGTAACCGAAACATAATGCTCCTGCTTCACAGGGTAGGCCTCACGCAGCTCCTTGGGGCCCTCTTCTCTGAGACTCTGGTCCCTGAGTACCAGAGGCAGAGAGGACCCTGTGCGTGAGTGTCCCCATGTCAGGGAGAGGACGAGGGGAAGCACCAGGGAGCAGTGTTTTTCTCTCATATGTAATAATAGTAATAAGACAGCCTGGCTAAAACCATGACGTAATAATATAGCTTAGCCTTCTAGCTGTGAGGGATAATTCGTACTAAAAAAAAAACCTATTGTACCTGATTTTTAAAAATATAATTATCTGTAAGGATAGTAAGTGTATTCAGAAATCTTAAGTAGTCTAACTGTAGTTTAGGTTAAAAAACAATTTTATGGCCTAAGTTTAAGTAGTTCTGTTCAAGTAGAACTTGGAATGATACATCAGTTCTTACAGTTCTGCATGCTTTGTGAATTAAGGGTCCACTGTACGTGGGTTATGTTGTTCTTCTCTTCTCCCCCTGTGGGTGACTCCGTATGGCTGTAGAGCAAGCTGTGGATTGCTGCGGACGCGCAGAGGATCTCCTTGCTGGCATTCTCAGAGCCCGGTGTGCTGCGGCCCCAGGTGTATCACAGGGAGGATGGCTGTGAACCTGACTGGAGTGTCCTTTTCTTTCCATACCAGATACGCTAGATGAATACTTTGAATATGACGCAGAGGAGTTCCTGGTTTCTCTGGCCTTGCTAATAACAGAAGGGCGGACCCCGGAATGTTCCGTGAAAGGTCGAACAGAGAGTTTCCACTGCCCACCAGCTCAGTCCCGTCACCCAGTCGCCACCCGCCATGAGTGCAGCGACAAGCTGGCCCAGGTGAGCCCCGGCCGTGCTTTCTAGCACCACTTCTCCTGCAGACTAGTTCACATTCTGGTGTAGCCTTCAGGAAATCACAGCTCCAGAGTCCACGTTAAGTAGGAAGTCGGCCCTGCCCTCCGTCTGCCTGGCTTTGCAGTTGTGATTTGAGTTTCCTAACTGTGGAGTCTCAGCCTTGGCGCTTCCACTTTGTGATGGCGTTGACTTCGTAAGTGGAGGTTCGGATTCTTTTCCTCACATTAATGAATTTCCCGCTTGCTCTTCTTTTTTTCTTTAATTGCAGTATACCGTTGTTATTAAAAAATAAAAAATACTGCTAAAAAATACTGCTAAAATATTTTGATAGATGAAATATAATTTGCTTTAAGAATTTTTCTTGCACTTATTAGTTTCTCAAATGTCCAAATTCTTAAACATCGTGTCAGTTTTGAGGATTTAATGAAAATTAGTATTCAATAATTTAATATTCAGATTTAAGAATTAATCTTCCCCATGAAGTGATAATGAAATGAAAAACTAGGCAAGATGGGGCCAACCCTGAGACCTGTCAGACATGGTATGGTGTGTGCCAGCTGTTTCTCCACAAGGTAAAGCAAAGATGCCTTCCTAAGAAAATGCACATCACGTACTCAGGCTGGGCCTGGTGGCATGGTCTGGAATCCCAGCACTCTGGGAGGCTAGGGCAGGAGGGTCACAAATTCGCAGCCTAAACAACGTAGTGACTTAGTGAGGCCCTGTCATTCATGCATATATGAAGACAAGAGTGATTTAAAAAAAAGTGAGTACCTACATGAATAATGCTCATCCTGTGCTCTAGAGCTGGCTACCATGAGTGCATTCTTTAATGAGAAAACCGCCGGGCATGGTGGCACATGCCTGTAATCCCAGCACTTGGGAGGCTGAGGCAGGAGGATCATTGCAAGTTCGAGACCAGCCTGGGCTACAAAGTGAGTTCAAGGCCAGCCTGCACTGCATAGTGAGACCCTGGCTCAAAAAAACGGAACAAAAAAAGAATTTTTTAAGCCAGGAGTTGTGCATCCTTGTAATCCTAGCACTTGAGAGGCTGAGGCGGCAGGATTATTGCAAGTTCGAGACCAGCCTGGGCTACAGAGTGAGCTCAAGGCCAGCCTGAACTACATATCGAGACCCTGTCTCAAAAAGACAAAAAATGAGAAACCCTAAATAGCCAAGGTGAGCAAACTCTACCTCAGATAACTCATCTATTCCAGTAACTGCCTTCCCGTGGGACTTTCAACCCTGAGCACGAAACCAGGTGAGTGATGGAGACATTTCCCCTGTGCTTGTTCTTCCCCAAGTGTCGCCAAGCCAGACGAACCAGGTCCGAGGTCACCGTGCTGTGGAGGAACAGCCTTCCGGTCGTGGTGGAGGTGGCGCTGCTCCCAGACTGCTGCTACAGCGACGACGGGCCCAGCACAGAGGGGGCCGACCTGGCCGACCCTGCCATGGAGACGGACGCCCTGCTGCTGGAGAGATGGGTCCTGGAGCCAGTGCCCCGACAGTAAGCTTCCCACCGCCCCCTGCACACCATCTAAGGGTGTGGTCTTCACGTCCCTGTGCCCGGGAGAGCACGCTGGGGCTGGGTGCTCAGCACTTCACATGTACTGGGGAGTGCGTCCCCGCGCTCTTGAAAGTAGGCACCCTGCTAATAGGTTTGTTTCATCCTGTCGCTTCCTGAAATTCACGATTGCGTGCTTCTGACTCTGGACCACACGTCGCTGCTTCCCTTAGGAATGGCGGTCGACTCGTTGAGGAGAAGACTCTCCTGCTGGCTGTCCGCTCGTTCGTGTTCTTTTCCCAGCTGAGCGCTTGGCTGAGTGTGTCTCACGGAGCTGTTCCGAGGAACATCCTGTACAGGTAGGTCTTGGGCCGAAGGGGCGGCCTGCACCCCCTTGCACCCTATGGGTCATCCCTTCGCGCCTGAATGGGAGTGGGTAACGTGACATTTTTCTTCTAACAAGTCGGAAAAGTTGAGACTGACTCTTAGGAGTTTTGCTGATTGGGTTAAATTCCTTACAAAATAATATCCAGAGCGCCTTTAAGCCTACTTTAGAGATGCAAGAATGGATTTAGTACTGCCGTTGTGAGGTGGAGACATTGTCCAAGCTTCCACCTTTCTGTCCTGGCAATACCCAGATCCGGCACCGTGACCCCGCCTGTGGGCCCGGCTGCCCAGCCCCAGCCCGAGGAGAGCGTCCGGCGGGCGCTGCAGGCCAGCCCGGGAGCAGAGCGAGAGCCCCTGCTTTAAGAGGGGTGCACCGCGCACACAGGCGGGCACGAGAGTTTCCCTTAATCACGTCGCGCACAGCTGAGCCCGTTTAGCCCATTTATTCATTGGTAAAGAGGAAGTCCTTTCTCCCTGTTTTGACAAACACTTTAAAATTCTAATACTGAGCTTTGTACCACTCTCTTGCAGTGGTTTTACCAGAATTGTATGCACGATAAAGTGGCTAAGAATGAGCTCCTACAGACAAAGACGAGCGCATGATTGTTCACGTTGTAGAAACAGTGTGCAGTGGTGAAGGTGTGCTCGAGTAGCCCGCTGACTCTGTACTTCTCTGTTGGACTCTAGGATCAGTGCCGCTGACGCAGACCTGCAGTGGCGTTTCCCCCAGACTCCAGTTGAACACGTGTTTCCTGTCCCCAACGTTTCTCACAATGTGGCCTTGAAAGTCAGCGTCCAGTCCCTACCCCGACAGTCTAACTACCCGGTCCTGAGCTGTAGTATTCACACTAACCTTGGCCTTTATGAGGAGAGAATTCAAGAGCATGAGCATAAAGGCCGGCAGCCTCGCACTTCTGAAGCAGAGCAGTGTGGTCCGAACAGCTCTCAGCGTCCATGTGGCAGGCAGACGTGGACTGTGGCACCGGAGAGTGTGCCGCACGGAAGGGACGGCCCAGCTCTGGAGCACACCGCAGCCACCAGGCAGGGCGGGCCACACCCGGCTGCGGGCAGGAAGTCCCTGTATGGGACGTCTCGGGCCAGTCTTCTGGGCTTGAGTGGCCTAGGAGACATGAAGCCACATGAAACGTCGGTGAGAACTTGGAAATCACTTCCAGTGGTGGATTCCAGCATCTGCAGCCACCAGAGCTCCTGGCAGCCAGCTGGCAAGACGAACCCTTTGATAGATTCCTTAATTCAGGACCGACAGGAAGTCATTGCGAGAATCGCTCAGCACCTGATTCATTGTGACTCCAGCACCTCCCATGTTTCTGCACCCCCATTCCCCACTCAGGAGTCCAATCCCCTGCATCCCAAACTCTGCCAGGCATCCCGAGAGAGGGATGGTGTGAGAAAAGGTAAAGACACTTTCTCCATGTCTTTTGGGGGTCCAGAGTTCCCCTCCACGGAGGATGTCGGTGAGGGGAACATTCGAGGGAAACCAGATCCTTGGAAAAGTGAGACGCGCATCTCCGGTGCTCTGTCCCCTCGCCAGGGCACTGGAGAGGCGAGCCCTCTGATAGGCTCCCTGCTGCAGGAGCGGCAGGACGTGATCGCCAGGATCGCCCACCACCTGGAACACATTGACCCCACAGCATCCCGGGCTCCCCGGCCGGCCTCCCACCTGCGCGACCCCAGCAGCCTTCCCTCCAAAGTGTTCCGCAGCTCCTGTGAGGACAGGCACCTGTGGAAGGGGAACAAGGACGATACCTCTGCTTCCCTTCCTCCTTCCAAGCTGCCCTTGCTGGGAGAAGGTGCCAACAGGAAAAGCTTACTACCTGATAAGTTCTGTGGTTCTTTTAAATGCAGCAGTAGAGAAAAGCCCTCTGTGAAACCCCAAGTACAGACGCAGTGCCCACTCAGTCCTCCCGAGAGCATCCAGAGCGCGTGGCCAGAGGCCGGGGACAAAGCTGCTGCTCTGCTGACCGCCTCGAACGCGTCCCGGTGCAACGACAGCGACTTGGGTTTGGTTAGCAGACTGGAAAATACACTTGCGGAGCCACAGCTTAAGGAGCAAGAAGGCAGCACTGGAACTGACCCCCAGTATTCGGATCGCAGCAGTATTGACAAAAGGGTCTGCAGGAATAAGTGTAAAGGACAGATAATAAACATTGACAGCTGTAACCCAGAATCTTCTGACAGTCTCCAGTTGGACAACTCAGAAACAGTCGACTCAGATAGGAAAGTTACTGTGTTGGAAATGTCTGACTGTTTGAACAAGTATGAAAATAATTGCTCAAATAAGGACTCAGCAAAGTCCAAGACATACGATGGAAATACTCAGCTTAATAGCATAGAAAATTATCTCAGTAAAAACAATGAAGGTTTCAAATGCAAAAAATCAGACCAGTTAAAAAATGAAGAGGATAAGAAAGATTCAGTGGCTGAAAAAACTCAAAACTGTTCTCAAAGGAAGAGTATAAAAGGATGTTTGTCTACTTGTGAACAACTGAAAAATACAAAGATACTGGTAGGTAACATCTAACATTTCAAATCCGAGTCTTAGCTGTGTATTAAGCTTGAGTTTTGTTCACAGGAGATGCAGCTGTAATGGCCGTGGTGCCCATCCCCCATGGAAGCCACGGTCTGCCACCCTAGCCCCGCTGAGCAATTAACACCCTGGCCAGTAGACCATCCTCTTACAACAGATGCTAGATAAACAGAGCAAGTGAAGGTCTTCTGGGAGTGACCAGCTGGGCGTGGTAGCCTTTGCCCCTGATCCCAGCACCTCCAAGGCTGAGGCAGGAGGATCCTGTTTGAACCCAGCCTGGACAGCTTAACAACTTACTGAGACCCTGTCCCAAAATAATAGATAAGAAAAGGGCTCAGAGTATAGCTCAGTATAGCTCAGTGCGAAGGTCCTGAGTTCAGTCCCAATACCACAATCAATCAAGAAATGAGTGGTGGCTTTTTTTTTTAACAACAGCTATTGCTGGATATGGTGGTGCACACCTGTAATCCCAGCACTCACTGAGGACTCTGGAGAATGAATGAATGCTATTTAATATAGATAAAGCTACTTTGAGGCAGTGTAGTCTTGGTAGCTTGCCTTCCGTGACATCACATGATTAGAGAACACTTGATTTTTTCTGGTGTTTCACAGGGACAGATAAGAGACAGCCCCAGAGTGACTGGCGTGCCAGGAACAGTCTGTGCAGGTCTTCAAGGCCATCGGCCCACACACACCCCGTTGGTCTCACCCGGAGCCCCAGGTTCTCCTTGTGCCTGCAGAGGGGACGGGCGCGCACCGTGCAGTGCTGCGGCCCTCTCCCTTCCGCGGCCCTCTGCATTCCTTGCCTTACTTAGGAGTGGTTGATGGGGAGTAAGCAGGACTCAGGGAAGTTCCCCTCAGCTCCCTGTGGCTTTGTGAGCACTCTGGCTGCCAGCTGTGCGTGCCCTTGCTCATGCATGGTGCCCCCAGGGCATGCAGTGGCTCATGTCACCGCTGATACCGCTGTCTCAGCGGACAGTACGAATGTTCGATTCTCCTTTGCCTGCCTCAGGGTTGTGATGATGATCCAGTAATTTATTTTGTAAACCTTTAGCATACTATCTGAATTAAGAGATTCCCTAAAATGGTGGTTACCACAGCAACCTACCCTAGCTTTAAGAAAAGTACTTTTTTTGCTAGGTGCAATGGCATAGGCCTGCAATCCCAGCTAGTTGGGAGGCTGAGGCAGGAGGATTTAGAGTTCAAGGCCAGCCTGGACAACATGGTAAGATCCCCATCTCAGGAAGAAAGACAAAAAGGAAGGCAAGAAAGACAGCAGGAAGAGAGAGAACACTGGTATTTTTATAATCCTTGCTGGTAATTGGCAGGGAGGCTTAATCTGACCATGGTGTTTTCAAGCCACTGTGATTACTAGATTTCCATGGGCGTGTTTCAAGCTCAGTGCAGAGCGCTTGCTGTGTGTTTGTGTGTGCATTCCACACGTCACTCCTTGGCCCTCACCTGCCCTGTGTGGGTGGCCGTCTTTCCTGACTCAGATCAGTAGCAAAGGACCACGGGCCAGAGTGGGCAGCTGACTTGTCCACTGCCACGGCGCTGGTCCAAGGGAAAGCTGAACTCCAAGTTAGTGTTTTCTGATTTTTATTTTTTATTCATGTGTTTTATGCATTTCTGGTTTTTTGACATTTGCCCAATTTTTAAGAATCACCCTCCCTCCCTTCTTTATTTTGGTTTTTTTCTCCTCCCTCTGTTCCCTTTTTTTTTTCCTTAATTATTTTTTAGACAAGGTCTTTTTTTTTTTTTTGGTCTTTTTGAGGCAGGGTCTTGCCCTCCAGTTCAGGCTGGCCTGGCCTCACTGTGTAGCCCAGACTGGCCTCAAACTCACGGTGACCCTCCTGCCTCAGCCTGCCCAGTGCTGCGATTGCAGGTGTGCACCACCACACCTGGCCTAGACAAGGTTTCTATGTTGCCCAGGCTGGCTTCGAACTCCTAGGCTTAAGTGATACTCCTGCCTCAGCTTCCAAAGAGCTAAGATTACAAGTACATGCCACCATGTCCGCCTTGCCTGTTTCTTAAATCACATCAAAAGCCTGGTACTTTTGACTGTATTATATATCTTTCAAAATTAGTAGTATTTCTGATGTTTCCATATCATGCAACAGCAAATTAAATCCTATGAAAATGGCTATTGATGTTGACATAGTTTTATATTTTAAAATGTCGTGATTTTTTTCTTCCAAAGTAGTTGTTTTTCACGAATTAAATACTAGTCTGTTCGATGCTAGATTCTGAGTAAATGTGTTGATAAAGCAGCTCTCTGGGCACACTTAGAACATTTCTTCAGCATATTACAAAGAAAGAAAAACACAGGTATTGTTTCCCACGTGACTGTAGGCAGAGAGTAGAGATGTTATGTGCTCAGGACCAAGGACGTGACGCTTGAGAGTATGTCAGAATCTGAAAGCCACACAGGGTCTGTAAATGGCATGTAAGTTGTCTTTAAATGTCACCATTGAAAAGCCATTCTTTCCCTCACAGAGGACTGCACTGAAATGCTCGAGTGTCTGGCGAAAGCCTAACTTTCATTCCTTGGATGGGACTTCGACCCGAGCCTTTCACCCCCGAACTGGATTGCCTCTTCTTTCAAGTCCTGTAAATGGTTTTTCTCTTATTTCATGCTGAATACCTGCAAACATCTGAAATGTTTGCAAGTCACTTGATTGGAATTCTAATTAAAGAATATTTAAGCGGTGTTAAATTCGATCCTGTGGAACCCATTGTGGCTGGCACAGGAAGCGGGCAGCCCCTATCCACAGCCCAGGCTGCCTCAGATTTAGTTTCTTAAAAGTCGGTCACCTTTTCTTAAAGATGATCTCACAGCACCAGTACAGAGTCGGCAGGAAGAAGAAAGGTGAGCTTCAGTACTGAGCCCTGGTAGAGAGCCCGCAGGGAGCCACAAGTGCGTCTTCCTGCACGAGCGCTGAAAGAAGGCGGGGCCCGGAGGCTAAGATGGGGCAGCCTGTGGGTTGGGAAAAGCAGTAGCACCTCTAGATACGAAGAATGCAGTATGTGAAGTGTGCACGCACGCGGACACTCACGCTCCGAGGGTTTGGTAGTAGTGGCCTAGAACCGGCGGAGTAGGAACTGAGTGAGGAAGCAACAGACATCTAGAAAGCACCTAAGATGTGGTACACGATGAAGAACAGGTGAGATCGGAAAGAGCCGTGGAGGACAGAATGATAACTTTAGACATTCCAAAAGAACTAGATGGAATAAGGAACATTCTGTGTTCGAAGAAATTAGGGAACCGTCCAGGCTTCAAGGCTTTGGAGTATAAGTTGAACATTGCACAACTAAGTTCTGACCACGATACGTAAGCATGGTGAGCTTAGGCGACTCTCAAAACTGTGATGTTTAGGTTTTCCGCTATCATCTGTGAGTCAGATATTTTATCCATGCTTAATATTCTAAAAACAGATCTTCCTAACTGTCATATTGAACACGATTTTCTCTTTAATTTATGTTTGGCTCTTTCGAGTCAGGGTATTTGGAGGGAGACAGTAGTCGTCCTGAGTGTGACGCGCTTGGCACTGGTGTCCAGGAGACCCGGGTGCTGTCCTCTGCCACCTTCGGCTGCCTGGCCCGAGCTGGCGGGCGGGAGGCAGGGGGCCTGGCCTCCTTGCGCTGGCCCTCGTCTCCCTTCTGCTCTAAAGCTGTCTCCATTCCAGCCTCCCCCACATAGAAGTCTGTACAATTTTAAAAAGTAGCAATTCCACATGAAATTTGGTTTTAGGAAAAAAATGGTTCCAGTCCTTAAACACTTGAAACCTAAAATGCCTTTATGAATGATCTTTTTCCATACAAGCTAATAAAATGAGAATGTCAGGGAAATTATGTAATAAACAACATTATTGGAAGTAAGCTGTTAGGAGAAGTTGTATTAAAGATATGCTTAACTTTTGTTAGAAAAGTATTTTATCAATTCAAGAAAAAACTACAGTCTTTTTTTAATATCATAAATGGTTATTTTGACCTTAGGTTCCTCAAAGAAAAACACAATCAGGTTGCTTTGATCTGGATGCTTCATTACTACATCTGAAAAGCTTATCATCTAGAAGGTATTTATCTTAAAATTCATTTGTGAATATGAAACAATTTCACAAAATTTTAGTCTTTCATAGTAAGTGATGTCAACTGTAAAGAGAAAAAAACAAGTATCTGGGGATTTAGCTCAGCAGCACAGTGCCTGCCTGGCAAGCACAAGATCGTGAGTTCGATTCCCAGTACCAGAAAAAAAAAAAAACATGGGAGAAAAAAATAGCAGAACCCTTATTTTCAGTAAGAGAGGGTGCACTCGGAGTTACTAAGGGTAAAGGAGGGGTGAGGTGGTCACAGCTGAATGTTACCCTAATACTTAAATACATTTATATATTTTTGGTCATTAAACTTTTGTTTTTTGAGACAAGGTCTCGCTGTGTAGTGCAGGCTGGCCTTGAACTTACTTACATAGCCCAGGTTGACCTCGAACTCAAGGTGATCCTCCTGCCTCAGCCTCCTGAGTGCTGGGATTATAAGCATGCACCACCATGCCCAGCTTTTGGTCATTAATCTTACCTTTTATTCCTTTGCAAAAAAAAAAAGCATTGGCAGTTTTTTCCATGTTGGCAATTTTTTTTTATGTGTGTGTTTTGGTGCCGGGGAACAACTCCATGGCTTCGCATGTGCTGTGCAAGTGCTCTACCCCTGAGCTGCATCCTCAGCCCTCAGATTATATCCTGTAGTTATACTTCACCTTTGTGTTCACATCTGTACCTTGAGAATGAAGATCAGCATGAGTGCACTGTCATATTTCCAGTAACTGCCACTGTGTGACAGGTAGATAGGCAGGTAGACCGGGATAGGTAAATGTAAATTTTAAAGTAGAAGTTTTGTATTTTAAAGTTTGATAATAATTTTTTTTATGTCAGTTAAAGTAAAATTGTTCAGGTTCTCCTAAATTAATTTTATACAAATATAAACAAGAAAGTATTGTGATTAATGTCTTTTTGCTTATTTTAACAGCCCTCGACCGTGTTTAAACATTGAAGATGATCCAGATATTCATGAAAAACCTTTTTTGAGTTGTAGTGCTCCACCCATAACAAGCCTTAGTCTCCTCGGAAATTTTGAGGTAATGTGATTTAAAGCTGTTTTAAGAGTTGAAGTTTCTTAACTAAGTTAAGGGTATCACTTATGTCTTTTTAAAAGTTTCCTGGTTAAAAGGAAATAAATCAAGGGTCTTTTTCCAAAGCCTTGAATTTTCTTTTTTATTTTGTTGTATTTTCATGAGAAGGGAAGTTGGAAAAGTGGCCCCGTGCTGTCTTAGCACTGGGGAGCTGGCAGCGGCCCTGGTGGCTCAGGGTTAGCCGGAGGAGAGGCGTGGCCGCAGCTGCTTAGCGGGCGCAGCTCCGCTGCTGACTGGGCACAGCGGCGACTCCTGTGGTCCCGGCTACCCGGCCAGCTGAGAGAGGAGATCATTTGACCGGAAGTGCAACACCAGCCCGGGGGACAGAGCAAGGGCTCGTCTCAAAAACACGAAGCAAGGACAGTGGGCCCCAGACCCAGGAAAATCGTTGGTGGGCTGGTAGTAGCCGCTTGGTGGTCCAGGAGATCGATTCACAAGGTCAGGTGCTTCTCTGTACTCTGTAACTTCTCCAAATTCTGCACCTATGCTAAGATTTTTTACTTTTTTATTTTTTAGAAATCAAATGCTTAAAGATCTCTGATACATATACTTGGCAGGGGAGGAAGGTGCTGAGTATTGAACACAGGCCCTTTGCACTGAGCTGCATCCCCAGACCTGTTTTGGTTTTTATTTTGCGACAGAGCCTCACTAAGTAACCGTGTTGCCCAGGCTGGCCTTCCAGCCTGCGGCCTTCCTGCCTCGGGGTGCTAGGTGGCGGGAGCCCCGTGCCTCTTACGTGGGTCCTGCCACTTGTCATAAGATGTATCCTGAGCTCGCTGTCTTCAATTAGAAGTCAACCTCAAACCCAGAACCAAAAGTGACATTTTCATTGGTGTGTTTTTAGGGAAATAATTTAAATTTTTAATTTTAATTGAAGTAAACACTTTTACCAGAGTTGCCAGTGTTCTTTTTTTTTTTTGGTACTGGGAATTGAACTCAGGACCTTGTGCTTGCCAGGCAGGCACTTGTGCCGCTGAGCTACATCTCTGGTCCCAACATTCTTTATAACTATTTTAATTTTTAAGCTGTCTTTCACAGTTTTAATGGAAATAAAAAGAGAACAAACTTCTGTTACGTTGATTTTTTGATGCATCGCATTCCAGGTTCAGTTTAGAGGTGCTGATCTCTCCATTCCTCTTTGTCTTAGAATTAAAATGGCAAGCTATGACCCAGTGGCACACCCTATAGTCCCAGCTATAGGGTGGCTGAGGCAGAAGGATCCAGAGTTCAAGGCCAGGCGAGGTGACCTAAGGCCCTGTCTCAAAAATAAGTGAAATAAGAGAAGATGAAATGAAAAGAGCCAGGGATGTAGCTTGGCAGTAGCATGCTCACAGCATGTATGAGGTTCTGGGTCCAGTGCCCAGCACTGGAAAAAATCACAGAGACCGTACTGAGAGTTGGGCGCTCTGCAGCCTTTCACCACAGTGAACCTGGTGCTGCGGGCACCCTGGCAGACACACAAGGCACGAGAGGAGAGGAGGGAAGATGCTCGCGAGACCTTCCTAGTACTGTGCTTCGAGAGTCTCGTCATGTAGTGTGCGTGCATTTCCCGAGTGCCCTAGGGAAAACGTACAGAGGAGTTCTGCGGCTGTCCACCGCACAACCTCTCTTCCTAATGAAGTGAATGCTTTCTTCAGTGAATGACAGATCTTTCTTCGTGAGTTTAGTGACCTCGGCAATGAGAAGGGTGTGGTGGCTTGGGAAACTGGAATTTTAAACTCACACTGATGGTGTTTTGCGGCAGGACCAAGTCTCACCACGGTAGTGTGCAGAGAGGAATTGGCTGTTTTGCCGCAGTCTCTGGCTGTGGGGGTCTGTAACACACTGACCGGAGAAGACCCCAACGCAGGCCTCTGAGCCCTCTCTGGAGAGAGTTACCCTTTCCATTGCCAGACCTCGCTCTGCGTCCTCTGCTCACCTGTCCTGTGGCTGTCTCCTTCCAGCAGTGCAGTCCAGCCTGACACCAGCAGCCGCTGGATTTGGGTTGCTTTTCCCATACGAGGGAGTTGAGTCTGCATAAGTTGCACAGGCTGACTTTAAGCTTGTGATCTTCCTGCCTCAGCCTCCTGCATAGCTGCAGTTACTGGCACGCACCACCACTCCCAGCTTAGAGCATATTTTTTACTTAGACATATAAAAATAACATGAACTGATTAGGTAAAGAAGTGGTGAGGTTCCGGGGGAGCTCTGTGTTGGTTGGAATGGCGAGGGGAGGACAGGCTCACGGCCCAGTGGCACCTGGGGGAGGCGGATTGTCAGAGGGGGCATGTGGTAAGGCGCGCCGGCCCAGCACGGCAAAGCATCGTAACGCCTTCTGTTAGGTAGAAAGAGAGTCCTTCTCACTTTCCGCGGGTTGCTCTGTCTTGCAGGAGTCTGTTCTGAACTACCGCTTAGACCCCCTCGGGGTGGTCGGTGGATTCACCGCCGAGGTGGGGGCCAGCGGCGTGTTCTGCCCCGCGCACTTGACCCTCCCCGTGGAGGTGTCATTCTACAGTGTCTCAGAGGACAACGCTCCCTCTCCTTATATGGCAAGTACTTTCTAAATTCTTTGCTAGAATCAGAGAGTTCAGTGACAGGCGGCTTTAATGCATGCTGCAGAGCCTGAGAGGGGAAGAGGCTGAGTGCGGTGAGGGTGGCCGCGAGCTCCGAAGGCAGGCGCCCTCTGTCAGGGAAGGTGCTGTGAGCACGGGGCTTCCACCTGGCCTCCCGCGTGCTGAGTTCACACAGAACGCGCCCCAGTTCCCAGCGGCGTCCGGTCAGGGAAGGCCTGCCTCCCGCCCAGCCCCTGCTGGCTGGTCCCCGCTCTCCCCGGCTCCTCCTGCCTGCTGCTTCTGCCCCAGTGCAGCGGGGAGGGCAAGGGCATGAGGGTGCAGTCGCGGGACTCCCATCCCGTGTCTGTCCGTTTCCGCTGCTCATCCCAGTGGGTCCCCCGTGGTGTAAGCCTTCAGCTGCAGAAGCTGCAGCGAGTCCCGGGGCGCACAGCCGCCCTTCCCAAAGTGCGTGGCTCTGCATTTATGGATAAGTCTTTGAAGACATATAAACCCCTACAGGCGTGGAACTTCCCAGCCCTCCTTTCCAGCCTGGGTTTCCTACCCACTGCCTGCGCCAGCCGCTCCCTGTCCCTACCTTCAAGGTTCCCCAGAACATCAGTGACAGTGCCTTTCTTACTAGGAAGAGCTGTGAAGAGGGACTTCCGCATAACAGGAAGTTTGCTTCCCCCGGTAGTACTGCACTCATGGGCCGTGTCAAAGGCGGAGGCACCTCCCCAAGCTTGCCCTGTTGCCACACGTGCTGCAGAGCTGTGTCCGCTGCCACAGATGGCGGGGTGGCAAGTGCCATCGAGGCGAGTTCCGTGCCAGCGTGCGTGCCAGTCCTCCCGGAAGGCTTCTAGGGCAGGACAGACCCTGACGCCGGGCTGCCCCCAGGCGAGCTGCTGGCCTGCAGTGAGAGGAAGGGGGCGGTCAGGCCGCAGTGCAGAGTCCACACGGACCAGGAGGCTGGCTCAGAAAGAAGATAAGAGGGTGATGAGGCTGGAACTCAGCTCAAATACATACTTCTGAGTGAAATTCAAGAGCAAAAGAAAATCCGAAACTTTATTTTAAAAATAGCCTTAATCTTTGACTTTGTTTGATACCTTAAAAAAATGAAAGGTTAGGAGATAGAATGATGCTATCATGGTGTCCCCAGAAAGCAAGGAAGCACACGCCTGGGGTCTCAGGTTCTGCGTACTGAGCAGAAAGACTGTTCCTCGGGTTACTGCGCTAACTAACCCTGTGAGAAGCCCTGGCTTCCTTTCCATTTTACTGACGAGGATGGGCTCCTTTTGCAAGCAGCTGAGCCCATACTTTAGATCAAGAACGGTTCCTACTGTCCATTAATAAAAGTAGTTTTTTCTTCAAGGAACATTACCTCCATCTTGGTAGTTTAGTTTGCTTTCAAAGAGTTGAGGACTGCACACAGCACAGACCGCAGGGCCCTGTGCGTCACTCTGGGAACCCGTGCGGGAAGGGCCGTCCGTGGCTAGAGGTGGCGGCGTCCTCTCATCGAGTGACCCTTGCGGGAGGATTCAGAGCACTCCAGAGCGCTTCCAGCTGGGAGCCGGCGGTGGGCCTCTGCACGTGCTGTCTGGCCGCGCCAGCTGTGCGGCAGCTGCGCAGGGAGAGCCGGCAGAGGTCCTGTCCCTGAGGCCGGGCTGGGGCAGGGGCGGGCGCACATCGCGGTCGTGTCCACGGGCCCAGGCCGCTGTGTCACCCGGGTCCAGGCGTTCTTTTAGCTTCCCACTCACTCTTGTCTCCTGTAGTCCCTGGTCATTGAGCAGTTTTTGTGTAAGACTTTGACCAAATTTAGTTAAACTTCACTATTCTGTCTTAAAATCCCAGAAAGAAATAGGTTTCTGTTTTTATATTAAATACAGTAATTTTGTCTAGGAATGAATAATAAGCTGACCAACTAAAATGATGAAATTATTAAAATAAAAATTAATGAATTTAATAATATTAATAAAATCTCCAATAATTTCCCAGTAACTTTCTAAAATTTCTAATTTGCCAGTGCTACTCCTGGTCTTACATTATTGGAAATTGTTGTTTTACAGTGCTGCCCTAAACTTGTGTCTTTTTAAGAAAAGTCACAGACATTTATGGGCTGCTTGCTCACTGCTGCGGTGTTGTGAAGCCGGCAGGCTGGCACGTGCAGAGAGGGAGGGGGGCGGCGGGGGCGGTTAGCCTGCTGGTTCCCAGATGGATTTGTGCGAGGGGGCCGGCTCCCCGCAGTGATGAGGCCCTAGCACCGCTCCTCCCGGTGCGGGTGCGAGTGTTTCACTCTCTAGAGCGAGGAAAGGAGGGCGCGTGGCGTCGAGCACAGTAGGTCCCCACAGCGCTCCTCACACAGTGCCACAGGCGTCCTCGCTCGCCGCGTGGAACGCACGTGAGGGAAGAGCATTGAGAGCTCTGGCTTCTTGGCACACTCACCAGCCCGTGCACAACCGTGTGCAGTTGGATTTGGAGAGCTGCCTGTGTCTTTTCAACGCCCAGTCCCCGAAAGCGTCCCAGGGCCCATGCGTTAGCCTCACGGTCGAACCTGGAGGCGAGGACCCGGGCTCGGAGCCTTGGCCCACCTCGCCGTGTGCCCCTCCTTCTGCCTCCCAGCCCTGGCTACCTTCACACCCGAGAGAGGGCGCTGGCCGGACAGCCCCGCCGCTCGGTCACTCCGACAGAAGGCTGGCGTGTTTGGGCCTGTGCTCCTTCCACCTGAGCGCCAGGGACAGTGCCACCCAGCTCACACGAGCAGAGGGGCACCGTTCGTTAGGGTTGGTGCAGAGTGAATGATCTCAGTGCCCGCCTCTAGTGAGAAGTTTCACACACTCATTTTAATGTATCTTCTTTAAACTTACACTCTCTGGGCACTGTTCGGAGTTCTCAGAGAAACAGCTCCGCTTACTGCGGCTGTGCTCGAGTGGGGACGCCCACGCAGTCTGTCACAGGGAGCCTCGCTGGCCTGCAGGCCTGGCTGCCCTACTCCGCTCCGGGGAGGGAGGGACGGCGTGCACCCCAGGCTGCTGCTGTTTGGGTCCAGGCCCCTGAGGACTCCGGCGCACCCCTGTGAGAGTCCTCTCACGAAATGACCCAAGCTTAGCCTCAGCCTGGACTCACACATTTTTAGGTTGTTGGCCTTTAATCCATGGTGTTCTGATCTAAAATCAGTTCGGCTTCTTAGATCTCTTAGTAAGTAAATGGCTGAACAGCAGTAGTTTACGAAGGCCCTGATTGACATAACATGGCATAAGGTTATTTTTGAAGACACAGTTAATCCTTGGAAAATGGGTTTCTGTAGCTTTTATGTAGAACAAATGAGCTTGAAAGTTGCTGATTAAACCTTTTTTTCCCTATTTTTTTGTCTTGAGCGCTTCTTGTATAAATTATCAGGCAGGAACTACAAACTCCTGAACGTCCTCTTTCCTTCTCTCTGTCTCCCTCCTCCTTCTTCCCTTTCTCCCTTCCTCCTTTCCTTCTTTCTTTCCTTTCTTTTCTCTCTTTTTTGTTCATTTCTATCTCTCTCTTCTTTTGTAATCAGAATTCAGAGGTTACTTAATCCTTGACTGAAGAATTACTTCATGTTTGGCCAAGACTTACCCTCCAACTCTCTTACTGTTTGCATGCCCAGAGAGAAACAGTTCTGTTTCTTCATTCCCTCTCTCCCCTAAGATACGGGGGAATGGTCCTGCAACTTTGCCTTGTTCCCATTTGGCTGGGAGACTTGCCTTTATGTCTTGCGTGGCAGTGGAGCTTTCCGGTAGTGTGGCTGCTGGCGTTACACGTAACTTACGCAGCGTCTCCGGGAAGAACAATAACTTGTCTCTTCAGGGTGGGAGCCTTGCTATTCCATGGTCATAGAATGTATTTCCGTTAATTCAATGTGAATGACTTCCGTAGAAGTAGAATCCGCAATGTTAGTAATGACATGACGTGTTGTTTTAGTCTGTGTCTGTGCCTCAGTGTGTACTCAATTTGTCTTCTTTTATTTCAAGGGTGTGATTACTTTAGAGTCCCTTGGTAAAAGGGGTTACCGCGTACCTCCTTCAGGAACAATACAAGTGGTATGTGTTTTCTAGCCTACAATTGCAATAATCATTCTCTCACACACATTAGAACTTAGTCCTTTCTCCTGCTCCTGCTGCGCGGCGACTCTGGTAAGTAACCGTGGGGCTGCAGCGTGGTTTGGAGTCTCCCTGCTCTGCCCAGGATGGCCCTTGGGGGACCCCATAAGGCAAAGCTTTACTAGATTAGTCAAGGTGAACGCTTTAGAAACGTAGTCTGTGACCATGTGCACAACCTAAAGGAAGCTATTTTCAGTGTAATTAGAACCTGCCATTCTCGGTGCCTTCTGTTTACTGTGAGAAGCCATATCGAGATGGATCTGTTTAAAAGGAGACCCCAAATACTCGTGCTGCTTTGGCAGGAAGACTCGTGGAGCACAGCGCGATGGTGTGCCTGGCGCAGTGATTTGACGTGGCAGGATGAGGACACTAAGCGGAAACGTGCGTCTGACCAGTGTCAGGCACAGGCGGCCTCTGCCCTTTAGTCCGGAGCTGCCCTTCTGCCCAGGGCAGCTCTTCTTCACCTGGTCAGCATCTGACCCCGAGTGATGGCGCTGCCCTCCAGGTCTGCTCGGGTCTCCTGCGGAGCTGGGAGACTGCAAAGTCGCCCACAGCCCGGGCACGCGTTGTGTCACCCTGGGCCTCTCACTGTTGCCAGCACTGCAGGGAGGCCACGCGTGTGTGCTTGACACTGCACAGGAGTGAGACGCAGGCCATGCGGAGCCTGTCTGCTGAGCAGGCGGCGCTGCAGAGGAAAGTGTGACTTGGGTCCCATGGATCCCCTGAGCTACAGCAGTGGCGGCCTTTGTCCCCGCTGGGTCCCCGCCAGCCAGCTGGCGGCTGTCCTAACAGTGACACGCTGACCCGACGCGGCGCCTGACCTCTCACTCTGCAGAACACCGGCCAAGAGGTTCCTTCTGACTGTGAAACTTAGTTTCACTCCTTTGTGATTTAATTCTGTGTCACCATTGTTTGAACTGCTGCTTGCTAATTGTGGGTGTGAAATGTGTTGGCCGTAATCTTAGGACTTAGATTGTGAGAGTGGATCATAATGTTGATACATTTTCATTTTGATTCAGCGAGTGGTGTCCAGTGCCATGGAGGAGCTTCTGAAAGCACGAGCACCAACTTACCCCTGAGGTGCTGGTGACTTGGTCAGTTAGGTCAGCAGCTCCGGGCTTACTTTAAAATCAGCACTTCTGAAAGTTTTCCTTCCAGTGGTTCATAGCCAAGAACCCACTGAACTCAACTCAGTCTTCACTAAGGATACACATTTTGGTCTATAATCATACTGATTTTTTTTTAATTCAATGTTGCTACAGATTTTGAAATGACTTCAAGTGTGAGAACGTGAAATGTTATTAGCCTACTTTGGAGCTAATAATGATGAGATATATCTTATAAACCTGAAAAGAATTTCCAGTAGAAACGTTTCTCTGAGCACTTTTAATTTTACCACTGTATGTACATAAAGCACCAAAAATTCTAGTTTTACCAAACTTGTATTTATTTTAAAAATTCTATTTACTCACCATTAAAATGTGAGAAAATTTAATATTCTGCTTTGAGAATTTTTCATTTGATAGTCATCAAATGAAACTAAGCTAATTTCAAACTAAAGCTAAAGTTTGAAATTACAGAGCTAGAATAGTTTAACCCTATGAGGGTGTATTTTGCTGGAGATAGTAGACCTATTTCTGAAACTCTAAACAGGGAAAAAAGTTGCAGATTGTTTTTTATTAATAAGAAATTTATAACTAAGATTTTGATTTGTTACAGGACTTTATAATACTGTGAAATAAAAGGTCAGACCTTTGCAGCAGTATTGAGTGTTAACTTTAGTCCCTGCCCCGGTGGCAGGGGTGGGACAGTCTCTGTTAAAAGCCTGTGCGGTTGTGGCTCCGCCGCCTGACGCGCGCTGCACGGCACTGCCCCTGAAGACTAGTTTCTCTGTTGTCTCTTCAGACCTTATTCAACCCCAATAAGACTGTGGTGAAGATGTTCGTGGTGATGTACGACCTGCGCGACATGCCGGCCAACCACCAGACCTTCCTGCGCCAGAGGATCTTCTCGGTGCCTGCGAAGCCGGAGGCCCGCGGGGGCGCGGGCAAGGGGCGCGGCCCGCCCGCGGAAGAGCGCCTGCTCCGCTACCTCATCCACCTGAGGTGAGTCGGGCGGGGCGCGCCGCTGGAGGCCCGTGGCGAGTTCCTGTTAAGAGGCCCGGCGGGGCTGGGGATTTAGCTCAGCGGCAAAAGCGCCTGCCTGGCAAGCGCAAGGTCGTGAGTTCGGTTCCTGGTACCGGAGAAAAACCAAAAAAAA